ATTGGGTTCTGTTCTTTCTTCTACTCCGGGGAGTTACTGGGGTTGTCTCCAGCCCTCACCATCAGTAGAGATGAGCACGTGAGAATAATAGATGAGAACTCTTCCTGGAAATTGGCGGATCTGTTTATTAGAATCTATGAGATGAAAATTAGCTCAAAATGAAATACCAGATATGTATGTGCTTTGAAAAGTTCAGTCCACAAATACTGCTTCTGTGACTGTTGGTTTTTCTGTTTAATAATAAAACAAGCCCTTACATCATGAAAGAGGCGAAGATACAAACTATGCTGTCGCTTTCCGCCTCTGCTGGTACACTTTGGTGATTTGATGCGGCTGTGGTGCTAAAGATGGCATTACTGACAGCTGACACGGGTCAGAGTCCATCACTACAACCGGCCCGCTGCAGCTCTGTGTTGGGACCTGGGCTTAGCTGACTCATCCTGGTAGTGAGGGTGAGTTGGGATGCTGCAACTTGCCAGGGAGAGCATTCCGGACAGTTCTGCACTATTGTTTTCCTGCTGCATATAAAATGAAAGGATTGTAGGACTGGGGCAGCAAATGCTCTTTCCTCCAAGAGTCTGAGTAGGAATTTGAAGGGTTTTCAGAAAGGAGATTAGAGTAGACAATGTCTCAGCTCTGAGCAGAGCTTCATGGGAAAGAGAGCTAACAGCCAGCTGGCGGGGGTAGGGACACTGGCTCAGGTGCCTGCACTGACACCAGACTGCAGTTTGTTGACTTGTAGGATTGCCTTGGAATAAGCAGATGGGAACAAGACACCTTGCAGTAGAATATTTGAGTTGGGGGCGGGGGGGGGGGGACACACACATTTGTAACCTACAGTGGTAACCAGGATGGAATATAGGGCAAGGTGTTCCAAATACGTGCCCCCCAAAATTATTGATCTATGAATATAAAAATGCCAAGTCTAAATAGAGAATTTGAAAATTGTAAGAAGGCTAAATGATGTTTAAAACAAAACAAAAAACATATCTCCCCCCCCCCCCCCCCACCTCATAGGGTCCCTCTATGTAGCCTTGACTGTCCTGGAACTCTATGTAAACCACCAGGCTAGCCTTGAACTCACAGAGCTCTGCCTGCCTCTGCCTCCCAAGTGCAGTGCCGGTATGCAAGACCATTGGGTTTTCTTTTATTCTGTGATTAAAGGCAGAACAAAAATGCACGTTTACATTTTACCTGGGAAGGTCTTGTTAATTTTCATTGAAGTCTTGTTTAGCCAGTGACTTTTATCATATGTCCTTCAATCCAAAGATGTAATCCATTTACATTTCTCTTCTTTTTTTTTTTTTTTTTTTTTTTTTTTTTGGAGCTGAGGATCGAACCCAGGGCAAGTGACCACTGAGCTAAATCCCCAACCCCCCATTTACATTTCTTAATGTTCTTCTTAGTAGTTGACCTGATCTTATTTCTATTAATCACCTTTAGTTTTATGTGAATAAAATTTTAGTTTTTAATTTAGATTCATATTTAGTATTTTATTCTTTATTCTTTATTGATAGCAAAAATAACTGAAGTGATTTGGTAACATATTTAATGAAGTTTAGTCTGAGGACTTTCAGTTCTTTGAACAGCTATCTAATACTTAAATGTATTAACTTACTATATTAAAATTACTTTTAACTATTTAAACTTGGTCTCTGTAGAAGTAACCTTTTCAAAGCAGTAACAGGAAATAAGGAAAAGACTCTGGCTCTCAGGTGTTTCTGCCACATTCTGGCCAGTTAGTCATTCACAATATTTTATGATGTACTTTGCTGTAGGGCAGTTTTGTCCATATGTGAACATTAGTAGGTGTTACATTAAAAAATTGCATAGAAAAGTTTTTGCTATGTTGTGTTTAACAGTGTTGAGCAGATTTCTTGCCTGTAGACTCCCTGAGTTTTTCATTAAATACATCAATGAATGCCCTGAAACTCCAAGGAGAAGGTAATCTATAGCTTTCCCCAATAGCAGTTGCCCGACATAGCAACCCAAGTACTTACCTTCCATAGAACACACACTGGGAGCCTTGGAAAGGAAGTCATACTTCCACCAAGAATTATGGGTTTTATTAGTGGTGCATTCCTCGTGACTTCTTGAACACTGGTGTTCAAAGTTACTATGTGGCATAAATAAATGTTTATACCAGCAAGGTTTGTGTACAACATTACTGATTCAGAAGATAAAAATTTAGAAGACACATAATTCAGCCAAACGTAGATTTCAGGGTCCTCAGGAGAGCCTTCATAGGAATGCATAATTCAGAACTGAAGCTGAAGAAAAACAAGCTCGGCATTTCTCTCTCGTAAGTGCTTATTGAAGCATTGCCGCTTGCAGGGAGGCACGAGTCTGTGCAAATAGCTTGTGTTTCAGAGAGAGCGGCCATTGTGAGAGGGCAGTCTTAGTCCACTGTCACATTACTGTGCTAATGTGGAGAGTGTGCTGACGTTGGCCTGTGCCAACGTTTCTTTAGTTCTGTGGAGGTGCCAGCTCTGTGCAGCTGTTTTACTGGCAGCAGCTGGGAAATAAAGGTTTCATGAATAGGGTTGATCAGCACTGTGTCCTGAGCCTTCTTCCTGTGTTTTTACCTAAGCTATAATGCCAAGAATAGAGCAAATGAATGGGGTTGTGTGTGAATGATGAAGTGAGGGGTAGTGGGAGGCTAGGGGGGAGTGGGGGAAAGAAGACCATCAATGATAAACGCTCTCAGCAGGAAGGTTCCAGGCCTTCTGCAGCGTTTCTTTGAAGAGCTATAGCATACAGCAATTACAGAAGCTGTAATGTTTCCTGTAATTTTGATGAAATGAAACCAGATCTCTATGGAAACCACATGGGAATTATTTTCATTTTGAAACCAAGGGATGTGTTTCCAGTTGGATTCAGGGATGCACAACTATAGACTCAGCTACGTGGGGGGTGGGGGGGGTGGGGGTGAGGCTGGAGGATTATTTGAGTCCAGGAGTTCTTGAGACCAGCCTGAGCAATACATGGAGACTGCAACTGAAGCAGAAGGAAGTTGGGGGGCTAGTGACCTTGACCAAAGTCAGTCAACAGCGTGGGTGTCCTTAAGCTGCTGTAACAGCTGTGTTAGGGTACGAGAGAACTCTGTGCTAAAGAGGCATCCCTTTTCTTTAACTGGTAACACTAGAATCTTTATCCTCCAATATCAGGAAATTATTATGTTTATAATTAAAAATTAGTGATGGAGACATGGAACCACCTTTGTAGGAATGTTTAGGGATCAATCATTTAGCCAAGCTGACCGGAAAGAAGCTGTTTTGTTTTGTTTTGTTTTGTTTCTGTGCAGTAAAGGTAGATCAGGTTTTGGAGTGTGAAGGGAATTGCTAACAGGTCCATGTTCTCAGAGTCTAAGGAAGAAATTGAAATTTTTGTGGTTTCTTGCTAACTAGTGAGAGTACCCATGTAATAAAAGCTCCCCACCTCTCCAAAAGAAAATTAGGCTTCGTAACAATTTTAGGGACTGTGCAGGTTGTTTCTAAGGAGCAATGCCAGTTTTAGAAGAGCTGGAGGTGGACAAAAGCAGAGTTGGCAAGGTGGGAGTGTCTGGCATGCTGAGCCAAGCCACAGAGACTGGAAATGAATTCGATGGATACTAAAATATGGAAATTCACCTGTTTTGTGTCCTGTCTTAATGTGGGAGGGACAGAAGATAGGCCTTTTTATTCCTTAAGGACAGACACCAGGTGCCATTTCCCAGCTGGTTCCCAGTGGCCACCAACTTGCCAGACTGGTTGCTTTTTGCATTCCCTGTCACTCTTACCTTTCAGGGTGGGAAGGGTGGCCTGGCCTTGCTTTGTCCATTTGTCTTAAGCTAGTCCCTGTCATCCTGTTATGACTAAAAAGAATTCGAGGGTAAACTGATAAGATACTTAATTTCTTAGTGCATGGTAAAATAGTACAACCTATGGGCAGAAAATGAAGAATCCGAATAAAAAGAAAAACGTGGGCAGGCAGTGAGGTGGCTAGTGAGTAGGTAAAGATGTTTGCTGCCTGATAACGCAAAATGTAAGCCTGATGGTCTGAATGGGGTCCTCGGGAGAGAACTGACTGCAGAAACTGTCCTCTGACCCCTACTCATTTGGCAAACATGCCTATGCGTATACACACACACACACACACACACACACACACACACACACGTCACACACACATGCACACTCTCCTAACAATTTTAGGAAGTTTAGAGAAGGAAATGAGCCATAAAGGTTTCTTTTTATATTCTTTCAAGTTGTGTGGGCTGGTGAGATGGCACAGCAGTTAGAGGCTTGCTGCGCCTCCTGACCTCAGCTGAAGCCCCAGAACTGGCCTAGTAAAGGAAGGGAACCAACTCGTGCAGCAAGCATGGCTCTCTTCCCCTGCCTGCCCCCGTCTCTGTCTCTCTGTCTGTCTCTGTGTGTCTGTCTTTCTCTCATGCATGCCCGCACACGCACACAAAATTTGCCTTTGTTTAATCAACCCTGTGTAGGAAAATCAGTTTAATAATTAGACACTGCTCTCTAAGTGTCAGTATTCGATACCTCTGTGATTGTTTGCTAACTTGAGTGTTACTCTGTGTTATGTCATATTGTTTATGAAAGGTAAATATTTTAACTGGGGGCAGTGATGAGAATTAAAAATCCAGGCAAATAGGTAATTCTTAGAAAATCTTCCTAATGTTTCTGTTCCCTTTAGATGGATTCATTACAAAAAACTAAGTGGTATACTGTGACAAATTCCCAGCAGTCTGTGATGTGTTCAAATGAACTGGATTCAAACCCCAGAATCTGTCGGAGACGCCTTTAAATGACACAGGTGGTTTCTATTGAGTGGCCTCCCCAAGACTGAGAGGCACTTAATGCAGATCAGATTTAGTAATTAACTTGATTGGGTTTGGGACTTGGATGTTGTAAAATGCACAAACATTGGGTTTGTCTTGAGTCATCTTATTCTCATTTGGGGTTGATGGAAATGAAGTAAGGACCAAGTAAACAACTTTTTTTCAGGTGCAAATTCGACCGTGGAACCTAAGTGACAGTGACTTTGTAATGGATGGTTCTCAGCCTTTGGACCCCAGAAAAACTATCTTTGTTGGGGGAGTTCCACGACCCCTTCGAGCTGGTGAGTGGAAACAGTGTCACCACAAAAAAAGCGGTGACAACAAAATCCCCAATGCCTTATCTCTGTCTGGGTTTCCAGTCGGCCTCCAAAAGGAAGTCTGCCATGTTGTTTTCACTGAGCTGACTTTTTTATGGTTAAGAATTTCCCCCAAAATGCTGTATATTCTTTTGGTGCAAGAGTCAATTTGATTAAACCAATTTTGTGGAAAGGATGAGCTCTATTTAGTTCTTTCCTATTTACCCACACATTTAAAATAATATGTGGCAGTGTGCGTGCTCATGCGAGTTAGTGTTGCAGATTTACCCCATCAGAAGTCTGCCTGGTGCATCTGGTGCTCAGTCAATGAGAAACTGAGCCACTGCTGGGAACTGTACCTGGGAATCAAACTAGACCCCTGGGCCTCCCCCAGCAAGGCAGGATCTGATTAGTTCCTATGACTTCCAGAAATGAATTACATGTCGAGGCATTTTTTAAAATTATGACTTTATAAAAGCCCCCTGTTCTGTGGTCGATTTTTGGTGTGGTACTGGGGCTTGAGCCCAGGATCTCACACACTCTAGACAAGTACTCATATCCTCAGCCTGCCTTCTACTTTTATTTTGAGACAGTCTCACAAAGTTGCCAGGCTGGCCTGGGACTCACTGTATAGACCAGGCAGGTCTTAGAATCCCCCTGCCTCAACCTGTCAGGTAGCTGAGAGTGCAGGCCTGGACCACCTGGCCTACCTCTGTTTTTGCTGTTGTTTGTTTTTGCTGTTGTTTTAATTTGTTTCCAAGGATGAAACTACCGTGCTGCCGAGGGTAAGCCAAATCATTGTGAACTAGAGACTTGAAGTGGTGTTGAACTGATGCCTCAACATTAAACCCGAGACAAGCCAGGAGCAGTGACACTCGTCTGTAAGCTGAGCACTCCGGAGGCTGACACATGATGATTTCAAGTCTGAGTCTTACCTGAGCTACTTACTGAATGAATACAAGGCCAGCCTGGGCTACACAGGAAAATTCTGAAGGCGCCTCAACATTATTTGAATTCTAAATCCAGTCTGTAACACACACACACACACACACACACACACACACACACACACGCACACGCACACGCACACACACACACACACACACACTTTAGAACTCTATAAAGATATACTCATAAGTTTGGTGGCTCACACTTGTAACCCTAGCACTGACAGGTTGAAGTAGGAGGGTCTTGAGGTTTGGGCCAACTTACATAGTAAACCCCTGTCTCAAAAAACAAACGGGGTATAATCATAATTCTATTTTGAAGAACTTTAAAAATATTGTGATTGTGGTAATTTTATGCTATGTCTAGAAGTCAGAGATCTCTGGGTCCTCCGTTCCTTCTAATGAAAAACCGTGCCAAAAGAAATCACTTGATGAAATCTAGAAGGGCCAACTCATTGGGAACAATGTAGCATTTTGCTTTGAAATTACATGTGTGTTTAGGAACAGGCGGTGTGAGTGGGGTGCTGTGGACACACATGACACTTCTGTCAATGTGCAAGGCTGGAGAAGAAGAACCTCATTGGGAGTTTTCACTGCGCACGGGTTTTACAGTTGGATAGTCACTGCTGTACCTTGCAACTAACTACATAATGCAATGGAAGTTGTGGTAATGTTTGGCCCCTCCACTCTTCCTGTATGGGAACCTTTAAAAGTCCTGAAGGTGGACATGGTGGCACACACCTGTAAACCCATGCAGAGAAAGGTGGATCTCTCGAGTTCCAGGTCAGGCAGAACTACACAGTAAGACCCTGTCTCAACAACAAAAGTCCCCACAATCATAAAATAATACAACTGATTTTTAAGTTGTCAGGTCTTCTTTTTTTTAAGTCACAGGAACTGTAGTTAATAAGCTACATTGTACCCAATGCTCAGCTTCAGGAAGATGTTGCAAATTCTAGAATCAGACAAAAATGATACTAGGTTATAAAGCTGGGCATGGGCACACGACTGTAATCCCTGTACATGGAAGAAGGAGGCAGGTGGATCAAGAGTTCAGTGTTATCCTTAGCTGCATAGTGAGTTCAAGGCAAGCCTGCATTACATAAGATCTTGTCTCAAAACAGGGAAAGTAAGTGTTTTAAAAAAGAATTACATTCAGTTATCTAATCAGAAATAGGATGTGTGTTCTTTACCTAGAGAATATACCTAATACGTCTTGGATTTCTTTTTTAAGTTTTTTAAGCTGTTTTTGTCTTAAAATTGGTTTGCTTGGCAGTAGAGACCTAGTCAGGTAGCTTACAGGAAGTGTTACTTCCAGCCTACTTGCCAGGATTTCTAGAATGCAGCTGGTGCTAGGTGGTTAGGAAGCCCACTATTAAACAAATAAGCAAGGGAAGCCCAAGGCAAGTGGATCTCTGTGAGTTCGAGGCCAGTCTGGTCTACAAAGTGAGTTCCAGGACAGGCTCCGAAGCTACATGGAGAAACCCTGTCTTGAAAAAAAACCAGACAAACCAAAACCAAAAACAACAAATAAGCAGGGGCGTGCCATACTGAACTGAGTGAATATCCCATTATCATGTTAAACAGATCATTTTATATGGAAAACCAAAGTTTTCGGAACAGAACACAAGAAATGTATTGATAGTTGAAGACTAAATTCCATTCTTTAACATGATTCTGAAATTTGGCCTTGAAATATTATAGAACATTTTTTAAAAGATTTTTTGATTTATGTATGCCTGCAAGAGTTCATGTGCATCACATGCATACCAATGCCTGTGGAGGCCAGAGGGCTTTGGATACCCAGAGCTGGGGTTCCAGGTGGTTATGAGCCAGCCATATGCTGTGGGTGCTGGAAAAGCAGACCTGGGTCCTCTGCAAAAGCAGTAAACGCTCTGAACTACTGAGCCAGCACTCTAGTCTCAGGGCAGGGCCTTCCTTGGTCCTCACTCAATCGATAAGGCTTTGAATACTGGGATAAATTTTCTTTCCCTTTATCCTTGGCCATAAACTGTCACTTAGCACATCAGAGTGATTGGAAGACTGGCATCTTACCATCTGTGTTATTCATGTAGATCTTTTGAGGGTTTATGTTTGTTTGACTTTCAGCATCGTAAAATAGGGACTATTATCACTAATATTCATTCTAAATGTATCTCCTATCCATCCGAGTAGAAATGCCTCTAAAGAAGCAAGTATTGTCCTACCTGGGCTTATGGTGTTTATTGAATTAAATAGTCTTACTCTTTGACAAAAGTGTTCTTTGTTTTTTGAGACAGGGTCTTACTGTGGAGCCCAAGCTGTCATCAAACTCATAATCCTCCTGCCAGACATAAACCATATCCAGGTCAGACCTTCCTTTTTAGAATTCAGGTTGGTGGGGGAAATCACAGGCCTAGAGAAATTAACCTGAGAGTGAGGAGTGAGGAAACCCAATGAAAAGTATATCTGGATGACTTTTCTCATCCCTCAGTTGTGGGTCCAAGTGGATAATGCACATTGCTGTCATATCTCGCTCCTTTTCCATCACTCCTGTGAGTAACAGGAACAGACTAAAGATGGTTGTCCCAAATCTGGTGTTTCCAAGATCTGGATGTCTCCCTCCATTCATCCCATTTCCTTTCATGGGGAAAAAAAATGTAAGTAGACTCACCCTGCCCCCATGTGGCTAAGTTTGCACATTCTTTAGCGTCCACAAAAGAACTAGGCTGATTGCTTTTCTGTGAGTTACAGAGACAACAGCATGCTGACCTTTGGCCAAGTGATAACGAGCAACCTATTTTCCTAAACACTCATACAGAAAAAGCCCTATGGCATATCCCTGTGGCATTAGGACCTCTTCCCTCTGCCAGTACATCAGTGTCAGATGGGAGCCGTGAGGAGACCAAGTAGAACTGGAGTGTCTGGTTTCCCGATGCTCTCTACTTCATTTGCATGAGTGTGTCTCTCACTCCATCTTCTTGGTTTGGGTGTCTGATTTAAGGACCGCTGAAGTGACTAAGTTTTGGAATCTCTTTGCAAATGAATAGGCTTTCGACCCATGCTCTTCATTTGATGACTTCCTTCCAGCATTTGATCAGACCAGGCCTTGCAGAGCAGTTTCATCTTCTCGACTGTGGTCCTGAGTTCCTAGAGCCTGCCATTGCTTCTCATTGTTGGGTCTTCATCTTTCTTAACCATTGCTCTGCTGAATCTTTCCTTCCTTTTTCTCCCTATTAATCCTGAAGTTTCGTTCTCTGCCTGCTCCCCAGCTCTGTTGCTCTTGATGGCTTTTATGTCGAGGTAAAGATTTATTATGGTGTGAGAAATTTAATCCATGGAGCTATGCATGTCAGGCACGTTCTTCACCCCTGGGCTTCAGTTCCAGACCTGGGAGGTAAAGACTTCTGAATGATATATGCCACATGGAGAGAGTGCATATCTCAGTATTTCTCAGGATCATTTTTCAGACATTTTGTACAAACATTCTGGTAGTTACATGAACTGGAGAGCACACCCTGATTTGTAATTAGGACATGGTCTTGTAATAATATCCCTTTTAGTCCTGTGAAGTGGTAGATGGCCAAACTTTCTGTATGTCAAGTTTCTGAGTAGTAGACACTTTCTCATCCAGTCCCAAGTTCGGTATGAAGTGACCCAGATAAACTCCATGTTTGACACCCTTGTAGGGATAAAGACTTTATAATGTTCAGTATGTGTTCCACCACTTCCTCCTCCTCCCAAACAAACCTTTGCCCATAGATGCTGTCAAACATTGCCTTAGCCGTGACATACTGATCCAGCATAAAGCCAAAGTTAGACTGGGGTGAATTAATGTTTACAAAGCAGAAACCAAGCCAGCTGAATTTAAAGCAAAGATTTACGAGCAGGGAGGCGGGGGGTCGGGGGGGGGGACACTAACTAGTCAAGTGCCACTGTGTCCTCAGCAGTGTGCTAGGAGCTGTTCATTCCTCGTTAGTATTTGTGATAACCTCATGAGGTTGTGAGCAGTAGACTTTGTGTTGTAGAAATGAAGAGGCAGAGTTCCAATAGAAGGGT